ACGGGGAGGGGGGTCAGCCCCAAGCCTCGCACCAGCCGGAGCGTTCAGAGTCCTGAATCCTGCACCCCCAAGGCCTCTGCGCAGCTCAGGCGGTGAAAAATCAACTTCCACTGCCACGAGGCATTTAGCTTCCTCATTAAAGGTGTGGAGGGAGGTGGGGGGGGAGGAATAAAATAAAATCAGAGTTTGGAGTCAGCCCTCTTCCACCTTAGCAGCTGAGCAAGGGGAAAAGAAGCACTGAGCAGCTTGATTCCAGACAGCTGTTCTACACAAGCCAGTCCTAGGAACTGGGACTAACTGGGTGGCTCTGTTGTGTCCTCGCTGCTGAAGAAAAGCAGAGGGGGCCGTGTGCACTGGCTGAGAATTTTTAATGTTTCTTCCATTGGTGACTTTCCTGCTTCTGTTTGTGTTCAGGTTCTTTGAGCAGCAAGTTCAAAATCTACCTGTCCTATTTTTTTATGTACACTAATGGTGGTGGTTTTCTGGGCTTTTTAAGGAAATATTTCTTTATTGACTTTTTAGTGTCAAGATAAAGCTAAGTGAACAGCATTTTTCTTAAAGGATTGCTCTTCTGTACCCTCAGCCTTTCCTCATAAGGGAGATGCTCCACTCCCTAATCATCTTGGTGGCTCTGTGCTGGACTCTCTCAAGCAGTTCCCCATCTCTCTTGAACTGTGGGGCCCAGATGTTGGACACAATATTCCAGATGTGGCCTCACCAGGCCAGAGTAGAGGGGGAGGAGAACCTCTCTCCATCTACTAACCACACCCCTTCTAATGCACCCCAGGATGCCATTGGCCTTCTTGGCCAGGAGGGCACAGTGTGGACACACCAGGACCCCCAGGTCCATTTCCCCTACACTGCCCTCTAACAGGTCTGTCCCCAACCTGTACTGGTACATGGAGTTGTTCTTTCCCAGATTTAAAACTCTACACTTGCCCTTGTTGTATTTCATTAAATTTCTCCCCGCCCAACTCTCCAGCCTGTCTCACTGAATCGCAGCACAGGTCAAATACGTACTAATCTGCTGCAAATTCCTTAGAATTTTACATATACAGAAATTTAGCTCCTTGTGTTTAGTCTTGAAGCAGCTATTTAAATTTTTTCTCCATAAAAGCCAGTATTTTTCCCCTATGTTGTTACTTTACTTAACTTGTTACTTTACTCAAGGTTTGCTGTACATGGTTTTACTACCATATGTAGTTTATGTGGATGTAGATGTGCAACTTACTACCAGAGAAATGTGACGACAGTTTCTCAAAACTGTCTCTCACAGGTGAGCCTTTTATAAAATTAACAGAAATGGGTCATGGTTGGGGGAAAAAAAAAAAAAACAAACACAAAAACAAAACAAGACCAAACTCTTCCTTCTCTAAGCTCAAAGTACTTCACTTGAAACGGAAGGTCTGTGTAAAGTCCTTAATTTTAGATAAATTGCAAACTATCACAGCCTGGAAGAGAGTATGTTTTGTGATCCCTGATAGAACACATTTTGAATATTAACATCAGGTAACATGAGCTATTTTCTCCTGCTACTACGTTGAAACTACCTGCTCCAAAAATGCTGTCAGCGAAGGCTGTGGCTGTTGATCACTCCACACCACACGCTACAGTGCTACCAGCACACTGCCTTATAGACAAACAGGCTAATTTCTCCTAGAAGCACGGAATGAGTCACATCCTGACAAAAAGCACAGGTCCACCTGCAAACGGTTTCAAGATGACAAGAGTTTTGATAGCTGTAATCAACTTCTGTATAAAAGAGTCCTGGAAAAGTGCTTAGGAAGTATGAATGGATTTTGTGCGTTTTCTTCATTTGAAATAGGTGAAAACAAAAGTGGCTGTGAATGGCAGACTGTAATTTTGCACTTATCTATGGCACAGCAAAAACACTAAAGTACTTTTTTCCCTTCAAAAAAATACCAGAATAATTTAAAACAGTCATTACTATTTTAAATGTAATGACTAACTGTAATTTAGAGGAAAAAATTCACAGTCAAAAAAACCTTGCTGACCTGAGCATTACGGTACAGCACAGCTTTCCTGCTCCCAAAGTGAACAGCCCTCTTTAAAAAAAGAACTGTAAGAACATCACATCACGTACCACACTGCCACAGAGGACACTAGCCACCTCATTATCTCCTAAGCTGAATGTTGAACAGTCATTACTAAATATTCCCGTTTGCCTCTGTGTCAGTTCAGTTGAGAAGCTGAACATGAGCCAGCAATGTGCACTTGCAGCCCAGAAGGCCAACCGTATCCTGGGCTGCATCAAGAGCAGCGTGGCCAGCAGGTCGAGGGAGGGGATTCTCCCCCTCTACTCCGCTCTCTTAAGGCCCCACCTGGAATACTGCGTCCAGTTCTGGAGCCCCCATCACAAGAGAGA